CGTTTTTGTCTGTGAAATAAGGAAACGGAGTCATAAACGAGAAAATACGACTGTTTTGCAAGGCAGGCTAGGGGTGGACTAGGCTCATCGAAGCCTTCGGTGCAAAAGAACGTTATAGGTCGCATAGGAGAAGTACTTACGGAAGAAAGAACTCATCTACCTCCGACATGGCGGCGGTACCAACTTACCAAATCGAAACTCTCGTGTCACATATTTGGAATCATGAAGGCACGGTTCTGTGGTGAGAGAGCTGAATTTTGGCACAGTCCAACCTGCCTAGCAGAGCACTGCTGGAGATTTAAAAGCAAATCTTGTCCCCAAAGACTAGGGCAAGACTGATTTTGGCACAATGGCTTTCGAAAAAAGTATTTTAGGAATTTACAGAGTAGATTCAAGAACGAAATAACCCTCGATACAAGGCAAATGATAAACTGTCACCTGCTTAATATCCTAGGAGCATTCTTCCTTGAATCACGTGACAGTTCTACCATAAATTTTTATGATGTCCATCATATGTCCCAAAAAGGTTGGTGCAGGGACGGTGACTTGTGTGTGATCTAGTTTTAAGTGATAGCAGACTTGCACAATATCCACGCCTCTCTCCTCTCCAACCCACCTGGAGCCGATGTCAAGACAGAAGCTAGAAGACCGAGGCGAGATCTGGCTCAAGATCGTTCCTCCTATGCGTCCCACCACAATGGGTGACTCTTGAACTCATACACATAGAGTTATGCTGTCAAAGCCCTATGCATAACTTTTAAATCCTATTTGGATGAAATAATGCAAGCTCTATTTTAAAAAAATACATGCAAAACGGTTGTGGTGAAGACTGCAGTTGATCTAACAACTGTTGGAGGTTGATACACGAACCCTATATTCCTATTAAGGCACACTTTAATTCCGGCAGTTACTACCAACCGACGGCAGTTTGTTTTATTGACTTTGTCGCTGCGTTCGATTTCGTTCGGAAAACAAAATATCACCACAATCAGTGTTGGCTATCACCCCATCTCTGCGCGGGTTTAAGTGCTTAAAAATATCTTCTAATCGTTAGATATTTGAGCTAGCATTTGAAAAACTGTATCCTGTAATTTATTCTGTTCAAAAAAGCCATGTACTGGACGGGGCTGACGAGGTTTTTACGATGTTGCTTTTGTACGCGGACATCGGCGGACGGATTTATACTGCTGTAAAAATATTGCCCTGCTGGCCTCGAGCTTCGGTGATCCATAGTTTGTAGTGTTAGGGGTGAATGGAAACGCGAAATCCGCCGGTTTATCCACAAACTTTGATAAGACTAAAGTGTATTCAGGTTGCATCCCCAATTGGTAGAACGCATCTCTCGGGGTTAATGGCTGTAAACATAAGGCAGTATACTGTCTTAAACAAGTCCGGGCAAGACCGCTGGTGAATTGACAGAGTAAGGACGGCAGAGTCGCCGCAGTCTGAGCTGCTCGCAGGGTTTTTATGACCCGTAACACGTGGTTACGGAACCGGCGCGACAACTCTATCGCCTTGAAGATCCACATACAGTATGCATCTGCCCGGTCAGTTCCCGACACGGTTGTGAATTCTAGACTTTGCGTGTGAACTGAGAGTAAAAAGTCGGACTGCCGCATCACAACCTCCCGAGTACCATCCTTTGATTGAAGTATGTCCAGTTCCTCTTAAATGACATAGTCCACGCTCGCTGTGACAGCAAATATCTCAGGTATTCCAAGAATGACGACCGAGGTAATCTGGACCCGTTCTTAGTCGTCTGCCTAATTAATTCACTGTTGCTGCTTTAAGGGCCGACACTGTTACCCACCTGAAGGAGTCAAGGAGAAGGTCACCTCAAACCTGTCTTGGCACGGTTCATCAACAGACGGGATTGATTTTTGAGTCTTTGGTATTCGGTTTTCGTTGTTGAATGATAGAATTGGTGTAACTGTTCAGATACGCTGTCGTGGATTGAGACGCCTTTAGAGGCACAATCAGCCACATAATTGAGACCGGTTGGATCAGGCATAATTCCAGTTGTGTAAAGTAAATGTCCAGCTAGTGATCGAGCTAATGAAATGCTAACCAAAATTCTAAAACGCGTTTTCCATTTGAACTACTTATTTAAGTGGGATTGTAATATCGATTATCGTGCAACATAATCCCAGGATAGTCCAGACGCGTCCGCTATAATTCATAAGGGCATCGAAAATCAATAGAAGGCGTGCATTCGATTTACGTAGGCATTTTTACCGGGTGCGATTTTCTGCGACCAAAATCGAGTGCATTGAAAGGCTGACATCCTGGTATGTATGAAATGTTCTGAGGAAATGCTACACAATAATAAACATCGCAATCCCATTTAGCTGGTCCTTTCACATTGAAGACGCATGTTAGAAGTTCAATTGACAGGTCACAAGATCATTCACTGACGGCAAGTACCGGAAATAAAGATTTAGTCCAAGATGATGCAATTGGAAATACCAGGTGCGGTGTTCTGTACTACAGCAAGTGGATTTAAAATAAACCTGAAAGTCGATTACTATTGTAACTTTTACGGGAGAACAGCAAATAAGGCAAAAACAGCGTACGCTGGAGACCGTGTAAGTAATACTTTCTTTTAAGGACTTCATCTTCGAGCACTTGGCACCCAGTAGCTAATAAGATGCATTAATGGAAAAAGCTAAATTATGACAGGGGCTCGACGGCCGATGGTACACCTGTACGGCCAAATACGGTACCAAGGTCGCAAAAAAAAGCAGTGGACAGAAAGTTAAGGATATGTGCTGTCTATACTTTGGCGAAAGTTGGCATTATCGTCCATAGAAAGCCGTAAGGTAAGTAACAAGGGTAAGCACAATTTACCATCCTCTCGAAATGTGAATTCGCTCTTGGTCATTCGGTCCTCCATTGAGAGAGGCGACAGAATCGCACTATTCAGACCATCTTCCGACCTGAAAGTCTGATCGGACTCGCTATTCGTACTTAATTTGGAAAGTCTGCTCACAGAATCGCAGCCGCTCCGCTCCATCGAGTCGCTATTATTCTCGGCTGTATTGTTTTTATCCTCAGCTGCCGCTTTGACGGGTTCTCGGCGCATTGTTATGGGGCAGGACTGGGCATGCAGGCTGAAGGTGGCCGACGCCGTCGGCATTTCCAGTTTAGTGGGTGGTGCGTTCTCCTTTTCTCTGGCAGAACTTTGCGATGCCAGAGAGTAGGTTCTCTTGACAATCGTTTTTGGGTCTCGATGAGTCGGATTTTCCGTTACTGTTTTGGCCCGATTCAAGACGTTGGTCGCCAGCTTTTTCGAACTCGCCGGTATTACGGAACAGACACTCTGTAGTAAAAGTAAAAATTAGGATTCCCAAATCCATTGATGTGTAAATAGAATGAACCAAGACCAGAAAAAGCAACAGGGCGATATATAAATATAAAAACAGCGCTACTTTCCTATCACAATGAAAGGTTGTTCAATGGTATCTTTAACACACAAACGAGAACAAATGCGAAAAGCGTGACCCATCACAAGCAATTTGAGAGTTTTCGTAAGCTCTTAAAAGACATTAAGAAAAACAGATCACAATTGGGTCAACAAAATTAACTAAATCTGCCAATCCAACTTAATAAAAACAGATCGGATGGCGTTAGTGTTGGAACAGATCTCAACAGCTGACCTAGTACTACTCTAAATTCCCGACAATAGTGGGTTACATATACTCGGAGAATTTACTGAGATAAATTTTCATTTTCTACTTGTGATTAAGAATGTAGTTTCCTGAGAAACTTACTAAAAAGAAAGTGCAAAACTGCTCAATCATCGGATGCATTTCTTTATCCATCTGAGCTTTCGAACTCTTACTGGAGTCCATCCTCAAGGATAAAGGCACTAACAAAACAATCAATTATAGAGGGTAGGGGCCGGCCAAACATAACGCCAGTCTGGAGGTGACTGGAGAGGGCTCTCTAGGCCGGCATCAGATCTATATATCGAATGAGCGAATTCTCATCGATTACCCAGTCTTCAATCAATTCATGGCCTGTCTTGCTTCCGGAGTGGAAGATTAACTTCTTGGCTGCGAAATTTAACCCTTGACCCGTTTTGTAAGTGTGGGCAGCCACGTGAAATAATCTGTCATCACGTCTCACAAACAGCTTATATTGGTGGCTTTGCGATCCGATTATGCATCTAGTCTGACCTGTGTAATTACGAGGATATTTTGTGCATGGGATAAGATACACTACATCCGATTGATCATTGAGACTTAATCGGTCCTTGATTTTCATGATCCTGTTGCGTATGGTAGCATTGGGTCAGCATGAAATTTGGACACCTAACTCCACAGCAATGTGCTTGGCTACCCCTAACAAAGCCTTGATGCATGACAGCGGATGCAATAGCATAAGTGCTATTTCTAGTTGGGTCTTCTGGGGGGGGAGTGAATACCTAGGCGTCGACCTATAGATGCCTTCAGATAGACATTCCGCATAAACTGATGACGGCGATATCAGGCCTCACGTGCTTTTTCGTCTGGGTTGCTGTGGTTAGTCTGGGTTCGTTTACCAAGTGTTCTGTCATAATTTCATTGATTATTATGAAAATTCCGAAGCTGTGTCGTGTTTGCTGGCGAACACTACGAAAACAATCGCCCACATCAGAAACGAGACAAGCCGCAAATTGATTGAAGCCTGGGTCTCCGATAAGGTTTTGGCCAATCGATATATTAATCGAACGCCAGCATCCAGAGTCTTGTCCAGTCACCTCCAAACTGGCGTTATCGATGTTTGGTTCACTCCACACTTTCTATAACTATTGCTTGTTCTGTTGCTGCTTTAACCCCTGGCGATGGATTCGAGTAAGAGTTCGAAAGCTCTGGTGAATAAATAAACGATCCCGGCAATTAGACAGCATTCTCCTCCCTTATTTATATATGCACCTGGAATTCGAACATTCGCCTCAAATCATGTCTTCAACTTGATGAATTTTTTAAATAAAGAAAACTATGGTACATTTAAACGGCACATTTATTAATAAATCACCGTGTACACGTCTTTATGGAAGTACACCCAATATAGAGGAAGCTATATCAGAAAAACTCAAGCAACTTGGTTATTACTAGCCCTTGATGAAAAACGGGAAAGGGCTTCTTATACAGATCAGTAGAGGTATTCAGTACAAGCCTATCACGAAAAAAGGAGGAATATTACGCCCAAAAATACTTCCGAGAAAAGTGTCGTCTTTGTCGGGGGATTGAGTTACTGAATCAGAAATACAGGATGCAAAAAGTGATATTTTAGAGTTGCAGTTGTAAACCGCCGACGGTTACGAACCCTATATTTAAGCCTTAAGAGCCATTAGGTTAAGGACACACTAAAACCAGGCAGGGATAGGTTCTTCAACAAGGAAAACAAGCTTGGTCAGTAAATAACATCTTTGAAGTTAAGATATATGGGAGTAAATTACTTACCGTTTAAAAATCTGTTTATTTCACATAAAACCAAACACAAATGTGAATCCGATCTACATTTTTTTCCTAATCTGGCAACTTTAGTATATTTTCGTAGTATTTAGGTATTTTACCGAAAAATACAAGGAGACTGCAATGACAATTTAAAGTGTTCATCTAGCTGGCCTATAAACCCAAAAAGACAAAGGTCAATAAAAATGTTTGATACAGATTACGATCACAAGTCATGAAAAATTCTGCAGTGGGCGACAGAGCGAAAAGACTGAAATAAAACTGTGAACCAATAAGAGGTTGGAAATCAATTAAAATGGGAAAGTTAGTGCTTCATTTAATCAAAACACCAGAAGAAGCCTTCGACTCTGCGGATAACAGACGGAACAAATATAGTTTTTCTTGTTGCATACAGTTCTAAAGAATTTTAGATAGAAATACAAGAAACCAAGAAGAAATGTAGGGCCTGACTATGCTAAGCAAATGGATCATTCATTATCATGCAAAGCGAGAGGTTAGGATAAGTAAAAACGCCGGTCAAGAGTTATCAAGCAACTGGGAATAGAATGAGTAGGGAGGACGTCGCTAATGCATCGATACATATTTTCAACAAAAGATATAGCTTCAGGGCGTACTTTAATACTTCTGGACCACTGTTAGTAAAATATTGCATTTTTCAAAATTACAAGGTCGAGAAATCAAATGAAGAGCAATATTTTGTCATCGCCAGTATGGTTTCACTTTTACTGTCATGTGGGGTTCCATTGCCAAGTATGATACAAACCACCTCAAAATTAAGAATCAATGCTAATGATGAATCTAACAAAGAGAACGGACGAAACACAACGGGGAACACATACAAATAGTCCTAAACTATATTTTAAGTTGCCTGTCTGCTAGCTCTACTGAAGAAACAGGGAGAGGCATTAGGGGAATATGCCGCTTGACATCATCTTGTTAAATGACTATTAACAGAAATCCAAATATAGGTATTCAATAAAATAGAAGGACCTACCACTTGTGAACCAGTTACTGAAGCAACGTCGAATCCGTTGTTTTGGTTAGTGTTCGTCTCTTCTGCTGTAGCAGCTTTAGACCCAAGCCAAAATTTGTGGTCCAAGACTTCTGCCAGAGTCATTCTTCGAGACGGGTCCTTAGTGAGCATTGAAGTAAGTAAGTGCCATAGCGCCGAGCTAGGCTGGCGGGCGGACTGCGGTGGGAGACGCAATT